GTTGTTTTTTGCGGAACTGGGGATTGAACTCAGATCCTTGAGTTTGCCAGTCAAGCGCTTATCCTACTGAGCCATCTCCCCGGCCCCAGAATATGATAAATGAATTCTTCAAAATAATTAAATTATTCCAGGCGTGACGGTGCATGCCTGTAAGCACAGCACTCTGGGAGGGTGAGGCAGGAGGGCTGCAAGTTGGAAGTTAGCATTATAATTGAGCAAGACCCTATCTCAAAATAAACAAAAAGGGCTGGGGATGTAGCTCAATGTGGATGTCCCTGGACTCAACTGCTAGGACTACTAAATAAACACATCTTGTCTATAGGTCATATTCTTCTATGTAATTGTCACAATACAAAAACATATACATTATCACCTTTCTGTCAAGTACAAGCGTAAAGCACTTGTTTTCCATTAAGATAGATGGCATAGGCCGGGGAGATGGCTCAGTGGAATAAGCACTTCCTTGGCAAGCGCAAGGGTCTGAGTTCAATCCCCGGTTCCGCAAAAAAACAAAAAACAAAAAAGATAGATGGCATACTTAAATAATACAGTATTGGGGGCTGGGGAGATAGCTCAGTAGAATAAGCACTTGCCTGGCAAGTGCAAGGGCCTGAGTTCAATCCCCAATTCCACCAAAATAAATAAATAATACAGTATTACATAAAGATTTTACTCAATTCAAAAATGCACGGGGCTGGTGAGATGGCTCAGTGGTCTAAAGCATCTACTTAGAACAAGCTTAGCAAAGCACAGGGACCATGGTTCAATCCCCCAGCACCACATGCCAGCCAGCCCCGCCCCCTGGTGGGCTGAGCTGGCCACACACACACACACACACACACACACAAATAAATAAATAAAAATTTAAAAAAAAAAATGCAGAGCCAGGGACAAAGCTCAGTGGCACAAGAGCAGGGTCCTGAGTTCAATTCCCAGTTTACACCCAAGTCATGATCAGTTAGGCAGCATGGCAACACATGCCTATAATCCTCAAGGTCCCAGCAGGCTGACACAGGAGGATGGTTCCTAGTTCAAGACCAGCCTGAACTACAAAGTGAGCTCAAAGCCAGCCTCAGCTGCATAGTGAGACCCTGTCTCTAAAAGACACCCTTCCCCTGCCAGGCCAGCCTGGTAGTTCAGCAGACTAAAGCCTCTGCTTAGACAGAGAGCAGCAGCTGGAGTTTGATCCCCAATCCCCGGTGTGTCCCGCTGGCCCAGCCCCTGGGGAGCACTGAGAGGGCAATGGAGGCTGGGCATGGTAGCTGTAATTCCAGCACTTGGGATGCTGAAAATAGGAGAATCCACTACGAGTCTGATCTGACCTATGTAGTGAGACCCTGTAGACTCTGTCCTAAATATAGAAAAAAAGACCCCCCGTAAAATATTGGGCATGGTGGGAAACATCTTTAATTCTGGTACTCAGGTGATTGAGGCTGTGTATGAGACCAGCCTAGACTAGATAGAGAGTTCAAGGGTCAGCTGAACATGAGCAAGAGCAAGCAAGATCCTGTCTCAAAAAACTAAAAATTTAAATTAAAAAAACCCCGTAAGATGACTGAAAATAAGGCAACAATGTGCTAAATTAACTAAAATACTGCAGCACTAATGTTCGAATCTTGTACCAGGATACAGAAGTTCACTATCAGATGTCAAACTACCTCAATTCAGCCTATAAAAGTTTATTAAATTCTGGGTCAATCTGTCAGCTTCACAAAAAAAGGAATAGAACTTTCTCATTTTATGTATTATTAGGAGAAAGGAGTCAATACTAATAATCACCTATACGCAACACTGTCATGGATGGCAACTAAACATTAACTATATGTAATAATTCCAACATACAGAGACTCTTGTGCTAGTTTACAAAAACAACAAAAACTTGTCACTCTAGAGTTGTCACTTAGTCACTTGAGAAATTTTAATTGCAGATTCAATATTTGTTTGCTGCCTGTTCCTATGACTCACTCAGAAAGGCTCTCCCAAGAATGCTAGGTGTTTGAGAGTGCAGAAACCATAGCTGGGGCACACTGCAAGAGGGAAGTATCGTCGTGACAGTGGATGAGTAAAAGGTGGAAAGAATTCATAACAGAATTTTTTATAAAGTTTTATGAAAAGCAAGCCACTCATAAAAAGCAGGCTTTTCTGCAGAATAACAGGATGGGTTGGGAAAAGCACTCCCAGCTCTGAGAAGCTTTCCTTGGCTCACATGACTGGATTCAGTGTATTTGTTTTATCTCAAGCCTAAGAGGGTTCCTTGTCTGGCTCCTCAAATAGATTCTACACAGCTTCAGACCAAAAGCTGTCTTGGGGGTCAGGGAGATGGCTCAGGAGAATAAGCTCTTCCCTGGCAAGCACAAGGGCCTGAGTTCAATTCCCAGTTCCGCAAAAAAAAAAAAAAAAAAAAAAAAAAAAAAAAGCTGTCTTATCTTAAAAATCATTAACACCTCCTTCCCCAAATGCCTAACACTGTACAGAGCATTTAATAGGTGTTTCATACAATTGAAATAGCCTGGGGCTGGGGAGATTGCTCAGTAGAATAAGCGCTTCCCTGGCAAGCACAAGGACCTGAGTTCAATCCCCTGTTCCGCCAAAAAAAAAAAAAAAGAATTGAAATAGTCTTATATTTATTTTATAAAATACATTCACAGGGCTGGGGAGATAGTTCAGTAGAATAAGTGCTTGTCTGGCAAGCACAAAAGCCTGAGTTCAAGCCCCCGTGGGGGGAGGGGACAAAGTGAGAATGTAATTATTAACCAAATGGCTTCTCATAAAAGACTTAACGCACTAGAACCCCCAAATCAAAAAGATAATTATATATTTCTTCATCTTTAAAATAGCTTTTTGAACTCCAATACTATCATATAACTCAGGTTCTGCTGGACTTTTTTATATTTTTCTGGCTTGCTTTTCATAATAGGTAGCAACCACACAGCTTTGCATCTTACCAAAGAGCTTAAACTACCCAAAGTGAAGCTGGATAAAGGCCATTCTAGAGCTCAGACGCTAAGCAGCAGCATCCTACACGGTTTTTCCTGATCTTGTCCTCTCTTCCTAAAGTCGATATGGTGGAAAGCGAATGATGTCATAGATGTCATGAAGTTGCATCAATACCTGATGATGATTTAGCACAACAATCCAACTTATGGTAAGAAATGTAATGTCAAGCCACCAGGATATTTTACTACATTAATTTGATGTCTCTTTATTAGCACATTAAGATATATAGAATGGCTAATTTTCGACTGTTGGTTCATTTACATCTTTAGCAAAGACCCTAAGAAAACCTATAAATTTATAAGAAAATGCTTTTAGGAGGCTGGGGAGATGGCTCAGTGGAATAAGCGCTTCCCTGGCAAGCGCAAGGGCCTGAGTTCAATCCCCGGTTCCGCAAAAAAAAAAAAAAAATGCTTTTAGAAAAGGAAAATAGTGCTAGATAATATTAAACTAAATAGCTGTCATTTCAACAGCTGAAACCCTTCTCCAGTGCACAACACACCCATGGATCAATGTGGACTGAATAGAAACTGGGTTTACCAAAAGCAAAGTTACAGGGAATAGGAAGCCAACACAAAATAGACAAGACACCCAATCAGATTATACACATTTTGAATAACTCAAAGCTAGGAATTTGACACAGCATCACTATTCATTGTAAAAGCTGCAGACTGAATTCTAAATGATGGTATTTCTTCTTAAATTTTTCTTCTCCCTTTAAATCCATGATGTCATCATTCTTTAGCACAACCAGAACCGATTTGTTACAAAAGGTATTTGTTGTTCCAAGCAAAAGCGATGGTCTCACCGTTTCCTCATAGCGCAATTCCAATGCGTGCCCTAAGGAAGCAACCCCAAGGCGTCAAACAGGCTACCCTAACCTGAATTCAAATACTCCAATTAGCATTGGAATAACTAAAAGTTGTTTCCAAAAAAGGAGTAACAAACACAGTATAACATCGCTGTGAGCAAGCGAAAGCTGGTAATATACCCGGAGCTTCATCTACATCGGTTCGAATCCCACCACCAAAAAAAAAAAAAAAAAAGACAAATAAATAAAAAGCTTTTATTTTCCTAATAAAAGTCGGAAGATCCAACAAAGCATACAAGTATTCCAAGGCTTAACAATCCAAAGGTTCAAACGCACTCCACTAACACTTAGGTCTTTCAGCAGAGACTATCAAGATCTCGCAATTCTGTTTTCTTCATTTACAAATTCGTTCCCACCCTCTACCGTTCCTTTCAACAAACAATTCTCAACAGGAAAACCTGTCCTCGGTCACAACGTGGACTGCCGTCTCAAGCAAGGAGATCCGCAGTTTCCACTTCTCTAAGGGAACACTCAAAAAAAAAGCTGCGGGTTAGGAAAGGCTGCTTGCGTCTTATTCTGCGAGTCAATTCCAAAACCAACCCGTTGCAGCTGCAGCTTAAGGGATGCTGGTCCCTCGCCGCCCACAGACCCCAATTGGGAGGGCACCCGTCTCACGCTCTACTCTGCAAGCAGTTAAGGGCTGGGGGCGGGGGGCGGCAGACTGAAACACTGACACCCTTAAATCCATCCTACTGCCGGCCTCAAACGTCTCGGTAGCCGGGGTTTGAAGGGAAAACCGCCCCGGCTAAGGGGAGAACAGGTTCGTTGCCATCCCCAGGGCTGACTGGAAAGGGGTTCTGCTCCTCCCCGCCCAACCCAGGGGAGACCGAGAAGGACGACAGCAAGGCCCGGAGACTTGCCATGACCGAAGGATACCCTCTAAGCATCCCGCGCTGCGCCGGACCCTAAGGCGCCCACTGCACCCGGGGTATAAAGAGCAAGAGGCGCCGGCTGCTAGCCGCGGCCCCCGGAGGAGAGGCCTCACCTGGCCCAGTCCGCTCCACGTTTTCGGACTCGTTCCGCTGGTGATAGTGGTGAGGGACCCCGGGGTAGGACCAGACCAGGGGCACTCCGCCCCAGGCTGCGCCCGCAGCGCTCGCGAGTCCTCAAGGATGCCAGGACCCCAAACCGCCCAGAGCCGCCATCTTCCTCCACTCAAACGCCGCCGCCGCCGCCGCCGCCGACGCCGCCGACGCCGCCGCCGCGGCTCAGCTCCGGCTGGGAGAAGACAGCGCGGAGAGCGCATGCGCAGGCGCGGCGCGGAGGACGCGGGCGCACTTACGTCAGCGGGGCGGGGCGGGGCGGCGAGGAGCGGCCGCGGGGCGGCGCCATGTTGAGAAGGTCCGACCTTTCCCAGAGGTTCCCAGGCATGCCAGGGCGCAGAAGCTTCCTAGGAGCTAGCCTCAGACTTTCAGCCACTTTTGGCTGCGCTGGCTGAGGTGACTGGAAGGTTTTCCCAATGGTTTGAGGCTAAGACGCTTAGAAACTAACTCACCCTTTTCCCTAGGGCCCATTGAGCAAAGAACGGGGCTGTGGCTCTTGCCAAGAACCCGTGCTAGGGGCTGGTGAGATGGCTCAGTGGTCTAAAGCACCTACTTGGGACAAGCTTAGCAAACACAGGGACCGAGGTTCAATCCCCCAGCACCACATGCCAGCCAGCCCCGCCCCCCTGGTGGGCTGAGCTGGTCACACACACACACACACACACACAAATAAATAAAATTAAAAAAAATATAAAATGTATAATAAAGAACCCGTGCTATTTCACAGGCTTGGTTTGTACAAGCAATGCTTCTCCAAACTGTAGCAACCAGTGTGTGAATTGTTACCACCACCCTTCTCTCCTGGGTGTAAGGGGTCAACTCACATTTGAGACTATAGATGTAAATCTTGTGTTTTCTGTTGTGTAAATGTATATTCACCCACTGTTCTAGGTTGTTTAGTAAATACTGGCTGCTTCTTGCTGTTTGCTAGATAAAATTCCTACCTCACCAATTCCTGTAACCCTCACCAATTCCATAGGGGGCCAGGGAGATGGCTCAGTGGATAAGTGCTTCCTTGGCAAGTACAAGGGCCTGAGTTCAATCCCCCGTTCCGCCAAAACAACAACAACAACAAAAGAATATCAACCCTCACCAATTCCTGTTAACAAAGTTAGCTTACAGAGATGACTTCAAAAGAAAATTAAGGGGGGGGGGGGGATGGCTCAGTGGAATAAGCGCTTCCCTGGCAAGCTCAAGGACCTGAGTTCAATCCCCGGTTCTGCAAAAAAAAAAAAAAAAAAAAAAAAAAAAGAAAAGAAAAAGAAAATTAAATGGGCTTTAACTTCCTGTAACCTCGGGCTATGCAAGGCTGCATGCAAGTACTCAGGTGCAAGATAACCAGAAACTGAAAGAAAGCCCCAGGAAATGTAGTTTGAGTAGTGGTCACAATGACCCTGAAAGCATTATTGTGTGTCAGACAATGAATTTGTTTACCAAATGGAATGTGATTCCAGGTTTTAAACACCCCCCTGCTTCCTGGGCTAGCCGCCTTTCAGTCTTTTAGTCTTCTCCATGAGAGCAGACTGGGACCCTGAGCTCAGTAATAAACGGCTTTCCAAATTCCCATCTGGCTGATCTGGTTCCCATAACACTAGGGATTGAACCCAGGGCTATTGCCCCGAGCTACATCCCCAGCCCTTATTTTTTGAGACAAAGCCTCACCAAATCACTTAAATTTCCCAGGCTGGAGAGCCCGAAGCGATGGCTCAGTATAAAAAGCACTTCCCTGGCAAGCGCAAACACCGGAGTTCAATCCCTGGTTCTGCAAAAAAGAAAAATTTCCCAGGCTGGGTTTACAAGCATGTGCTGCCATGCCTAGTTTACGAGCTCCATTTTCCAAATGAAGAAATTTAGGCATAAAAACCATTCACCATTAGTGGAATAAGTGCTTCCCTAGCGAGCACAAGGACCTGAGTTCAATCCCCGGTTCTGCAAAAAAAGAAAAAAGAAAAAAACCATTCACCCACCAATGGTGGGGGGGGGGGCGGGGCATGGAGGATTTTGACTCAGGCTTTCCTGGTTTCCAAGCTGGCTTTACTTCCTGTTATCAGTTTACCAGAAGATGGGGTCCAGCCACGTCACCCTTCAAGGGAACAACTTTAGGAACTCATCCTTGCAGCATGTGGTCTAAAGATATGCCAGGGATATGGCACTCAACGGCTTCAGTCTTCACCTCCTGGACCCAGCACTGGAGCAAACTTGGGCTGTCAAAAGACTACCCTAGTATAAAGTGGACCTCCTAGGGCCTCTTGGGAGATCGGACAGGCTCAGCAGCCAAGTGCTGCCAAGCTTCGAGGAGCATGCCTATAACCTCGGGTATTCCAGAGCCAGGGGCAAGATTACTTGAGCCCAGGGATACAAGATGAGTCCGGGCAACATAATCAGACTACATTTCAAAGATAAATAAAACCCCTCTCCGGGTCTAAGTCAGCTTCACTCTAGAAAGCACTTACACTCTTCCAGGAATAATGGCAGGACCCCTGGGAATACATTCAGAACATCC